CAGGTATCATTCCAACTTCCTATCGTTTCACAATGTCATATGATTTTATCACTTGATCAAAAACGATAACTTTTTGAGATTCAGATAAATATTGAGTTTCATTTTTTCCTGAGTCACTTTCCAATTTTGTTTGCTTTTTTTTTTTTTTTTTTCCTAAAATGTTGTGTTGGTTTCATGGATAAATGAAAAACGAGTAGCAATCAAATTGACTGATCTTACTAGAGGATTGAAACTAGAAGAGTTTAAATCTTTTTCGGCCTTTCCTCGTCTTCCCCCTTTAGCAAATGCTTACATACTATCGTTATGCAATACACTAAGCATTTGGGCGTTTAACTGTATATTGCTAGGAAAAACTTTGGGAAGCATAATTTAATACGTGTTTCTAGACAATTCTACTCATTGTTTCATTCTCTTTCTCAACCAAAAAAATATAATAGTTGAATAAAACAGCTCAATTAAACTTACCTTTTGCATACACTGAATTTCGGACTCCTTCTCATTTGGGACCTCATCTAAATGTTGATACTGGTCCAGCAAGGTACATATTTCGTTGAAATAATCTGCAAACCAATAAACGTTCGGTAATATGCAATTTTTATTTTTTATTTTTTTGGCAATACAAATCCATTTTTTTTTTGTGCCATAACTCCTGTTCAGTAAAATTTAACCGCAAATGAAAACAAAGTGGTACGGAAAAAAAAAAATTGTGAAACAGTTTTCTTGTTTTCAATCCTTTTATAAACCCTCTGTCCCAAATAAAAATCATAAGCAGCTGAACGACATCAATTTATTTCCACAGTTTACAAAAATAAATCTAGATAAGATATTACTGAGACAAGAACGAATTGCTCTGTGATCATTTTACAAAAAATAACCTTTTTTTTCATTACATTAAAAAAAAGGGTAATTAATACATTTTAAGCCGCATGAAGAAATGTAAAAAGAAATTGTTTTCATCCTCTTGCCTTCTTCTTATTCTCGAAAACAAAAACTTTCTTATTTTCTAGAGAATAATAGATCTGATAAACCCTTAACCTATAACTCATATCCAAACAAAAAAAAAAAAAGAAAACTCAGCAACTATATCAATTATAGTTACTTGTTTTTTCTATGTACCATTATGCACTTTTTTTTTCCCAAAAACCTATATTCTAACATTCAAAAAATAAAATATTGAAGAAACAAAAAATTTTAAATCACACATATGTCAGAGAAGCTGTCTGAAACTGTTTACTCTTTGTAAAATAGAACTGCTTATTTTAGAAAATAGGTAACACCTCATCTCCATTGACGGTAAAAAATGAGAGCTCAGTGATCACCACTTCAGCAAAGGAGAATGGCAATGGGTTTTTCTGCATTTTTTTTTAGCTTCTAAATATTATCTAAACGACAGATGAAGAAAAAAAACTGCTGCTAATAATAAAGTTACCGAAAAAAGTTAGTCCATTAACTTAAAAAAAA